TTCACAGCCCTCTCCAAAAGACAGGGGAGCAACAGCAACGTCAGCATCTGCGGCCTCCTCCCCTCGGAGCCCCCTGGCAGCTGGGACTCTAGTATGCACCTGACACAGCGGAGGCTCGTCCCGTGGCAACACGCGCCTCAAATCTCGGTGCTTGGTACAGCCAAGGTTTAGCTCCAGCCCACGGGACGTGGACCACTCAGAGCGGCCAAGCTCTCTGCTCATCTCCGCTGCTCAGAGGCCAGGCCGAGGGGACAGCCACCGACTTCAGAGACGCCAGATGCCACGTGGAGCTCAAAAATCTCTGCGAGGCCTCAGGTTGAAAAGCGAACCTTCAGCGTAGAGGCGACATGAGTTTCTCTGCTCCTAACTCATGGCCCACCCAAACCCGACGGAGCCAGGAAGGCCAAGCGAGGCTGGGACTCTTCAGGATGGAGAGCACGATTCAGTGATTACCATTGGCCACTCTTACATCCCCATAACTCTGCAACTTGGCGTTATCCTCCCATTTCATAGATGAGGCTCAGAGAAGCTGTGTGACTTGTCTGAGGTCACACAGTGAAGATTCGAACTCAGGCCAATGGATTCCAAAGACTATGTCTTTTCACTCTTATTTGCTTCCTTGCTGTTCTCTCTCTCTGACTCTCTCTCTCTCACACACACGCAGCCACACACACACACACACACATATTTTGTACACATACCTCCTCACATCTAACGCTTTTTTTTTTCCAACTTTTAAAAAAAGACTTCTTGGACAAAAACAGGATTCCTGAGCTTTTGATAATCCTCATTCTGCTGGAGGTTGTTCTGTACTCAGATGTGCATCTTTATAAGTTGAAACTGAATTTAAAATACTCAAAGTTCGGCTCAAAGTGCCGTCAACATAAGAATAATTAAAAGACTAAATTTTGCCGTGTCTACGATTGCCATGATTTTGTGTAACATCGAAAAATTGGGGTGAAAGTAGGACAAAGCTTAACTGTTGTATTTGTTTGTTTTGCGCACAGTGAGAATTCGCGGTTCATGCTTTGCTTCTGGAACGTCCTCGGTGGCGTTGTCTTTATTCCCCCAGCAGCGTCGGATTCCCGTGACGTGTCAGCGGGACGACCTCAGGAGACAGGAGCAGGTTCTAATTTCAAGTGTTTCAGCAAATTGTTACAGGTGATAAAATGCCAGCCCGGGTAGGACATATTAGGAGTACTTATGCTTTAACGTGAACAGCTATTATAGCTCTATCGTGGAGGCACCAAAGGCAGGGAGGGAGGGGGACTCAGAAAATAAATATTCTGAATAATCCCGACATCAGAGACAGCTGACAGGAAAAATGCCTTTGATGACTTGAGACGCTTGGGGAAAGTATCACCAGTTGTCTGCCCTTGCCAGAACTGCAAACGACCTTGAAAAGACCAATTTTGATGGAGTACCGTGAGGGGAAAGAAAGTTGTGCAGGGTTGATGAGATAAACTCTTTTAAGAAGTGCTGCTATGAAATGACAAAGAGAAACGCAGAGTGTGGAGGGAAGGTGGCATTGGGGGGGAGCTCTTGAATGAGTAATTAAACCTCTTGTTTTACCGTCTCAAGTGAGATGTGGACCCCTCCCCTGCATTTAGGCCCTTTTACCGTCTCCATTTTTGACTTTGTCTTGAGTATCAGATGATGCCGTAATGTTTGTTCCGCTCATCAAATGTGATTTAAAGACATCATGAGCAGAAGTCGAGTCTAGCTGGCATGTCCATATTTCTGCTCTTTCCTCATTTCTTCCTCCTTTCTGATGTTCCAAGATTCCCTCTTTTAGCTTCTCCTTTCTGTTTGAAGAACCACATTAGCGATCTTTAGGGGTACATCTCCTGGAGACAAATTCTTTCAGTTCTCCTTCGTAGGAAAAGGTTTGTATTTTTCCCTTCGTTCCTGAAAGATAGTTTCGCTGGATTTAGCCTTCACAGTTGACGGCTGTCTTCCCTCAGCCCTTGAAAAGTGTTAGCCTGCTTCCTCCCGGCCTCCACGGCTTCTGAGAAGTCCACGGTCGTGTGAACAGGCGTTACCAGAAAGGTAATGTGTCATTTATCTATGTCTGCTTTAAAAACCTTTTTCTTTGTGTTTAGATTTCCAAAGCTTAATTGTGATGTCTTGGCACGGGTTTCTTTGGGTTTATCCTAGATGGAATTTGTTCAACTTCTTGAATCGATACGTTTGTGTCTTTTGCCAAGTTTGGGGAGTTTTCAGCTGTTACTGCTTCGCATCCCCTTTCACGTCCATGCCCTCCTCTCCTCCTGGGACGCCAAGAACACGAATGTTGGATCTCGTTATGTAGTTCTACGTAACTGCATCCTGTCACTGAGACTCTGTTCTTTCTGTTGTACAAATGGGGTAAATTATATGGATCTGTCTTCAAGTCAGTTGCCTGGCACACTGGCAAACTGCTGAGGCAAGGAGGAAATAGGGTTGATTCACAGGATTAGTGTCCATCTGAGGTTTGTGGTCATGATTTAAAATGAACTCGTCCGTCCCGTTGAGTGATAGTTTTACAGGCCAGCCCTGCTTGGATGCAGACAGAAAGAAGAAGGACACTTAAGTTGAAGCAAGCCAGGGTCTTGGCAGACAGCCATAACGGAGGACAGGCGGTCAAAGGGGTTCATCGGAATGAAAGCCCCCGGAGAGCCGGTGAAGAGGTCATTGAGTAAAAGGTCTCAGTGCGGTTTAAATTGTTCTGCAACTGAAAGAAAGATGTTGTTTATGCTCATGTTTTGGGATGCTCAAGTTGAAATTTTATATACCGGTGAGCATATTGTCCAGGATATGATGGAGGAGCGACCGGCTGATGTGGGGAAGAGCAGAAAGCGGATGAAGATGAAGAAGTGACAGAAGGGTGAAATGTGGGCCATCCAGAAGATGACTCAAACTGGAGCACTTCTGAGCATGAAAGAGATGTCAATACTAATCACTCCAGCACAATAGGCCTAAACTGGGACTATCCCAGAGAAACCATGATATATGGCCACACTCGTCCCCATGAGGTTGGTGACACCCCTGTGAATGGTGGCCAGAAGAGGGTAGGACACAAAGCTGTGGCCAGACCTGGCGTCTTCAGTGACTGAGGAGGACCAAGGTGGAAGGTCATGGCAATAAGCAAAGGTCGAAGACGGCAGAGACTGGTGGGGCGTATCCTCCAGTGTCGGGAAGTTTTGATTAGGAAAGAGAGAGAGAAAAAGTTTGAAAGGAAACATAAGAGGAAGAGGAATCAGTCCCACTTCCTGGTCCTGAGGCAGGCAGCATGTGAGGAAAAAAACCTGGGTCTTCTTGAGACGTCTGCAGGGAGGCTGGTGTGCCTGGAGGACAGGCAGATGTCCAAAGGTGAGAGGACAGACGAAGGGGAATGTGAGGGTATAGGCCCCGCAAAGGGTGTGGTAGAAGAGGAGACACATGCCATAGGGTCAGATTAGTACGTACAAAGGCACTGGGGCTGAAGGAGCCTTAGACATAGGATCCTTGGATTTCTATTGGTGATGAATGCAAACAGGGATGAGGCATGATGGGCAAAAGACGGGATTAAGCCATTGAAAGCTGAGCTCAATCATGAGGCTCCTTGTTACAACTCATCACAGGGAGGAGGGCCTGGGTGAGGGCAGCGCGTGGGTGGGGAGGCATAGCTCCCACTGCAGGAGCCAGGGTGATGCCAAGGCTTCCAGTGATGTGTTCCAAAATAACCCCCGCCTTGTTAGTGTCGTCCCTTGACCAAGTGCTTCCCCTTATATTCTTTTTTTTTTTTTTTGAGGAAGATTAGCCCTGAGCTAACTACTGCCAATCCCCCTCTTTTTGCTGAGGAAGACTGGCCCAGAGCTAACATCCATGCCCATCCTCTACTTTATATGTGGGACACCTGCCACAGCATGGCTTGCAAAGCGGTGCCGTGTCTGCACCCGGGATCCGAACTGGTGAACCCCGGGCCCCATCATGGGAACTTAACCACTGTGCCACGGGGTGGGCCCCTGTAGGATCCTTATTCTTGATGTTCAGCCTACGTGCGTGGTGGCCTCTGGGGCAATGATCATGAATGAACCTCATTTACGACCCCATGTTGGTCTCAAAACAAGTCATTTTCTCCCTGCTGGTCCTCTCTGCATCACTCCACAGACAGCTTCCAGGACTTCAATAGTCTATTTTCACTCGCAACGCATCTGACACCAAATGTGTGCATCTTTTCACACCAACAGCCATTTTCCAACCCTCCAGTCACCAACTGGGTGTCCTACAATTCAATCCAATTCTGATGCTGACCACCTGGGGTTACTTTAGACCCCATGGGTTTAAGGGCTCAGTCGCACAAGACTGTACTCACTTCAGATGCCAGTCACTAGTTTTGGGCGCCCAGGGTACCCACACTTCTGCCAATTTGTCTATAACACCAGGGGTTCCCACAACGGTCCCTCTTTCAAGTTTGGTAATTTGCTAGAACAGCTCACAGAGCGTAAGAAAATTGTTTACTTACCTGACTATCAGTTTATTGTAGGGGGTATAACTCAGGAACAGCTGAGTGAAGAGATGAGTAGGACAAGATAACAGGGGTGGGGCACGGGGCTTCCAGGCCTCTAGGGGTGCGCCACCCTCCCAGCACCTCCATGTGTTCACCAACCCGGGAGCTCCCCCAAACCCTTTGTTTAGGGTTTTTTACAGAGGTCTCATTACCTAGCCATGATTGATTAAGTCGTTGGCCATTGGTGATTGACTCAGTCTCCACCCTCTCTCCCCTCCCTGGAGGGAGGTCAGGGGTGGGGCTGGATGCTCCAACCCTCTAACCAAGGCTTGGTCTTTCTGGCAACCAGCCCCTATTTTAAAGCTTGGGGGGCCCGAACCCCCAGGCATCTCATTAGCAAACAAGAGACACTCTCAGCACTGCAGAGATTCCAAGGGTCTTAGGAGCTGTGCCAGGAACCGGGACAACAGCCCAACATATATTTCGTAGCATGCCACAACTTCCTAAACCCTGATGCTCTTCTGACAACTGTGTTAAACACAAAATTCAGAGAAACTGGAAAATGTGAATATTTAAGTTCAAAAAAAATTATTTTAGCTAACTTTCCTTTTTCTTCATGTTTATTTTACTGAAAAGACCCTCCTTCACTGTTTTCCCTTCCAGTCAGCTCCAGGAAGCAGGCACTGAGGCCCTTTTAACCCACCAGCAAGGACCTCTCCAGAGCTTTCCAAATGCAAGAGTTACAAAATCAGTTGCCAACTTTTAAAAGCCAGACAAATCTCACATTTAAAATATCGAAGTATTTGTTTCCTCTTGGCGAGCTGTTGAATTTGGCAGCTGCAGGCTCCCCATCTCACGCAGGGCACAGACTCTCCGAGTCACCAGGACCTTCTAGGGCCTCACACCTCCTCTCCCTTGTCAGCCTGCCTAACTTCTGTGGAACGATCACTTCCATAGACAGCCGAGTCACAGCCTGCAGATAATGCTCATCCTTCCAAGTGGTCCATGAGTCCCACCCTGTGCTCCCGTTCAGTCTGCACTACCTGAATGAGGCTGCCATTCCCACAAGCGACTATATCTGAGTGTCCACTCCAACGTCCACTTGGTGCCCCCATACCAAGGAGGCCCCAGGCACCAGGGACTCAGAGATGACACAACAGCCCCACCCTCACTGTGTGGTGGAGAAGACGCTCACCTGCCTGTGGTCCCTGATTCTCAGTTTTAAGGGCCACGTGGAGTCCCACAGCCTGTGTGTCTAATTTCCAACGTTCCCCTTTCTCGTGTGGTATAGCTACACTTTGCTTTACTCTGAATGTTATCTACTTCTATGGCTCCACCTTGATTGTATTTTATTTACACCACTTCTTTGTATAAGAAAGTAGAACATCAATAAATAAAATGCAAACAGACACTTCCAACACAGCTCCATCGCTGCTGTGATGCTGTGATGAACGTATGCCCAGAGGGATTTAGAAGCACTGGGGCCTGGACCGGACTCAGGCTGGGGATAAGTGCATGATCTCCCAGACGGTTTGATTTAAATGAAAAATCTGTATAAAGGGCCAGATCCTGATGAAAACCTGCTGTGTGTCAGTAGCTGCCAGCATTTCTGGGTGGGTAATAAATAAGGTCAAGGTGGGCAGATGGCAGAATTGGAGACTGCGCGTGGGCAGATGTGTGACCACGATGGGCCTGAATCCCACTGCTAGAGAATGTAGATGCCACCCAGGGTTGAGGGGAGCCCTGAAAAGACGCAGAGGAGAAGAGGGAAGTCATCAGATTGGTTCTTGGAAAGATCCGTGGTGTGAAAGGTGAAAGGAAGAAAGTCATTCGGAAGGAGAGAGCAACTAATCAAAATTACAAAACTCGCTTCAAAATTCATGGCATACTTCCATGCCAGGTAATCACAGGCTAGGTAATTAGGACAAGTGCCCACCTCACCCTGAGGAACAGACTCTGGGATCCTCGGGCGTGCACACCAAGGGAGCTGCACTGAGTGTGTCTGCAGTGGTGTCGCTGCCATCAGCTCCCAACTAGCATCCGCCAAGTGTCCCCAAGTGAACAACGGGAAAAGCATGCTCTATGCAGGTCATGGAACACTACACAGCACCGAACTGGGTGAGCACCATGGATGAATCTCAACTCACATCAGGAAATGCAAAAGCAACATAAGACAAAAATCAAGGAATAGAAGAACACGCTGCTCACTAACAGGCAAGTCCCAGCTCCATTGTTTGGAGCTGCAGGTATGGGTGGTAAAACTAAGGAGAAGACAAGGAAGTGGTCCCTACAACGAGCCCAGTGGTTGTCCCTAGAAGGAGGAAGGGGACGTCACCCAAAGGAGACAACTCAGGGGCTTCTGGAAGGCTAGAATGTTCCTTTCCTTCACCTGAACACTGGTTACCTGGTTGATTTTGATGTTCTATATATTGGAGTTTTATGACATTTCACAATTATTATAAGTGATTTTTAAGTAGGGTGGGAAGACGTGGTGGGGACCTGGACTAAGGTAGTGGTAGTGACAGCTTTACGAGGGAGGGTCAGATAACGGATGGGAGTGAAAGCCAGGAGCCAGTAGCACCGGGCTGACCCTTAGGTGTGGTGTGGGACAGGGGGTGGGATGCAGCGCCACTCACAACACGGATTCCAGGAGGAAGCGGTCTGTGGGCTTGTGAGAGTGGAGAGACCAAGTTAAGTTTTCAACTCGTTTAAATTGAGATGCCTGGGGCCACTAAGAAATTGGATACTGGGCCAGGGCTCAAAATACAGCTCTGGTTTCAGATTTGAGAATCATCAGCGTCAGCAATTAGATTAGGATGTCAAGTAACGCAAATGCTTAAAATTGTGTGTGGGGGTAGATTTAGTAAAAAATGAAACATAAAGAAGGGCTTCGGAGAACTCCCGGGGTCTAAATTAGTCTTAGTGGAATGGTGGGGACAGAAGCTGTAGATCGGAGAGCTAGAAAGAAAGGATAAAACGGAAAGAGGAAAGCAAGGAGAGTGGGCTGCTTTTGAAGAAGGGTTATTGAGGGAGAGAGGGGGCTCCCGGGGTCTACGGAGCGTCTCGCGTTCTCAGGGGGTTTCCTTCTGGTTTGTTTGTCGCCAAGGTAGACGCTGATCCTGTTAGCAGAGAAGGTACTGATGCAGCACAGTCCTGAGGGGGCCAGAAAAGATGGGGACGCACAGCCACTGCTGGGACCATCTTGACGAGGAAGAGAAGGGCCCTCCCACTGCCAAAGGAGAGCCCTCCAACGGTGGACGCCAGAGCAGGAAATGGAGTCTCTCACAGCTCTGATTGATTCTAGACTGTGATAAAAGCACGGAACTTAGAAGTGCCGGGAGGTAAAGTAAGTGACTTAAATGATCTTTACCTACTTTACCCCCATCTCAGGTCTGTGAGCTTCCAGCCTTACAATTTATGCAGAATTTACACTTTGTAAGGAAACTGAGTATTTGGGAGAAGAAAGAACGCAGCGTCAACTGACTTCTTAATTAGTGTTTCTGTCATTCAAACAGTTTAAGCTTTGCAAACCCGCCAGGGTCTGGTCCAAGAGCACATATCCATTGTGAAAGGCAGGAGGTTTCACTTTAAGAAACGAAACACAGAAGAAGGAACAACGGCATCGCACCTTCTTTTCTTTTTCTTTTATAAAATTGACTTTATTCTCACTTTCTAAAATTTATTCCAAATTTTCCCTTGAGGTCTATCCTTGGGTTTCTAGTTGGCACGTACAGAAAAGGGAATAAAGAACCTCGTGAGACAATGGAAAAGAACACAGCTGCTCATCACCGTCTCATAAGCATGGCTGTCTCCGAATCCACTAGACTAGGAGCGTGATAGACAGACAGCTTGTCTACCTGTCACTTTGGACTGGGGCAAAAACAAAAGCCCTGTGTGAACGCTGCTACGAGGGTTAGAATTCCTCTGAGACGACAGAGTAAGCGTGACTGGGACATATTTCCTATAAGCTACCATTTAATGTGTTATCAAAATCACTTTGTCAACTTTTGAGTAGCCTCAGATGAAGTGTGTTAGAACAGAACACACAAACCTGACTATTAAGAGTCTCTACGGGATTAGGGGCTGACATCTCATTCACTCATCTGCCATGATACAGAAAAACAAAAGCAAAAAGATCTCTAGTCCCAAATACAATTTAAAAACTAAAATAGATCACATTTTTGAAAAGTGTATCCATGGGGCCAGCCTGGTGGCCTAGTGGTTAAGTTCATGTGCTCTGCTTCAGTGTCCCGGGGTTCACAGGTTCAGACCCGGGCGTGGACATACGCACTGCTCAAGCCATGCTATGGCAGCGTCCCATATACAAAAAGAGGAAGACTGGCACAGATGTTAGCTCAGGGACAATCTTCCTCATCAGAAAAAAAAAAAGCATATCCACTGAGTGATAGAATTAAAAGTAATTTTAACTTTCTTCTTAATGCTCTTCTTTATTATCTGACTTTATTTCACAGCAATCATGCATTGCGTGTATACTGCAAATGAAAAATGAAACAGCTACAGTGGATGGGCTCATAACAGCCTTCCCCTCAACCAGTCATTTGGATAACTGCAGACTCCCCACTGTGCCTGCATTCTTGTGTTCCAACCGCTGGGAAGTTGACATGCACCCAAACTGTGTGGCTCCCACATGCACGAATTAGAGCCAAATGGTTCGCTTAACGTGGAGGATGTCGGTTCAGAGGTGTAGTGGGTGCCAGGAAGGGCCTCAGTCACAGCTAGAAACTCCTGCCAACTGATGACAGCAGACAAGCTGGCAGCCAAGTCACACCGAAAGCCCTGATGGTCCCAGGACGACATTCTCCAGGACTTGCCGCCTCCTTGCATGCCTCTGGTGGTGTCTCGAGAACACTTCTCCAAACGGAGGGCACGTCTGAACACACACAGCTTGCATCTGTGGAGGACTCTTCTAAGACGGGACCCAGTCTGGCCGTGTCTCCACCACGCCCTCCATTGAGGCTTACCAAGGGTCAGCTGTGTTTTTGCCAAACTTGTTTATGCCACTTCTGCTTGTTCTTTTTGTGACTTCAGATAAGCCAATCTTAATGATTACGCACGATTGAGTACGTACTGTGTGCCGGGCACAGCAAGACTCATTGAATGTTCATAACATTACTATCATCTAAGTACTCTTATCACTTTGGGTTTTTATCGTACGTAACACAGACAGATTAAGTGACATGCCCAAATTCACAGGGGTGCCAGATTTAAAACCCAAGCAGCCTGGTTCTCAGTTGTCCCTCTTAAACACTAGGGAGAAAAGAGTCAGAATACTTGGCCTGTGATGCCTTTTTCTGTCAATTCCTGGGGGTGAAGGAATGTCCCTGGAGGAAAGAAAACAAGGCATGCTACTGGACTTTCGGGCAAACAGACTAGAGTGTTTGCTTGGAGAAGAATCCCCGTGGATGGAACATGGTGAACAAGATGCCCACGGATTACAGCTGCTCGTGTAAACAGTTTACTGTTATGGGGAGACGTCACCGCAGGGATCGGACGCTGTAGAGCCTCAGATGGAGTTGGTTTATCACTTACACGACCCCTGCCATGTGCTCAGATCTGTTTTGCTTTTCAGCAGCTTCCTGCTATTTGTCTTAGTCTTCTTCCCTTGCAGCTTGACAGTTCAGGAAATGCTTCACCTCGCTGTTCTCCTCCCACCCACACTGCTCCCTCCGCAAATCCCCGCTGCCCCGGGAGGCCTGACCTCCAACGCTTCAGTCTCTGGTCTGCGAGGTGTCTCAGCTCCCTGCTGGCCTCTCAGCCTCTCTCTCCACGCCAGAAACTGGAAGATGCTCCAAGACAAGGAGCAGTGGGTGGAAAATTGCCTCACTTCACTGCATTTCTCTTCTCTCCAGGATTTGGACTCATACAATATGGTTCCTCGGGGTGCCTTTATGACTCCCCAGTGCATTTCAAAAGACTTACATTTTATCTTGCTTTTTCAGTTGCTCTTAGCAAGAACAGTGGTCTGCTGCAAACTGTCCCATCGTATCCAGAAGCAGAACTCCTATATTTCAATTTTGAAAAGGAAAAAAGAAAAGAAATGCCTTATAACTACTGTGATATTTCTGCACACATGATCGGTTCCACTCCTGCAAACATATTTAATTTTCACTTTGAGATTTTTGTTGGTAGAGAGTTGTTGCTTGTGTTTTGAAAAACTGATGTTATCTCATTGTGCATAAAAATAGATAATTACTATAAAGGACCTTAAATCGGTAGGCTAAAAGGGAATTTGGAAAATTTAATAAAATTTTCTATTTTCAAGATATCTTTATCTTATTATGATATTTATTAAGATATTAAGATAGTTATCTTATTATGGCCCCCAAGAAAGGTATGCAGAGTAAGTTCTCTGGACTTCTAGATCTGGACGTCTGTTTCTCTCCCCATGTGTGGAAAGTTCCCAACCGTTATTTCCTTGAATAAGTTTTCTGCCCTTTCCCTCTCTCTTCTCCTTCTGGGACTCCTATAATGCACATATTGATCTCCTTGATGTTGACCACAAGTCCCTCAAGCTTTCTTCACTCTTTTTCGTTCATTTTTCTTTTTGGTCCTCTGGCTGGTTGAGCTCTGCTGCCCTGTCTTTGAGTCCACTGATCCTTTTTTTGGCTTTACCTAATACATGTTGAACCCCTCCATTGAGGGTTTCTTAGTTCAGTTATTGTATTCTTCAGCTCTGTGATTTCTATTGGGTACTTTCTCATATTTTCTCTCTTTGTTGAAAGTCTTGCTTTATTCATGCATTCTTCTCCTCACCTCAGTGAGCATCTTTATGATCATTATTTTGAACAATTGATCAGGTAAATCACTTCTCTCTATTCTGGAGCTTTATCCTGTTCTTTTATTTGGGACATATTGCTCTGGTTTTTTTTGTTGTTTTTTTTTGTTTTTTTTTCATTTTCCTTAACTCTCTGTGTTGGTTTCTGTGCATTAGAAAAAACAGCCAGCTCTTTCAGGCTTGACGGAGTCCTCTTGTGTAGAGATGAACCTCATCATTCAGCCTGATCCAAGCTCTTGGTTGTCTCTCAAACCCTTGTGATTTTCCAGCCACCTTCTTTTTTCTCAGTGGCTCCCAGCAGTTGAGATTGTACCAAGATCTGTTTCAATGTGGGTTTTTTCTCTTTTGTCCAGTGTGTAGGAGCCGCTAAACTAGTTTCTGGATTTCTCTCAGGAGGAATTGTTCTATGTGTAGCTGTAGATTTCCTGTGTCCGTAGGTGGAGGTAAGTTCCAGAGTGTCCTACATCACCATCTTGGACCAGAAACCCTGACTGTATCTTCTTTTTTCTGAGGAAGATTAACCCTGAGCTGGCTACTGCCAGTCCTCTTCTTTTTGCTGAGGAAGACTGGCCCTGAGCTAACATCTGTGCCCATCTTCCTCTACTTTATATGTGAGATGCCTACCACAGCATGGCGTGCCAAATGGTGCCATGTCCGCACCCGGGATTTGAACCGGCGAACCCCAGGCCACCGAGAAGCAGAATGTGCAAACTTAACCGGCTGTGCCACTGGGCCGGCCCCACCCTGGCTGTATCTTACAAACCTCTGTCTGTGGTTATATTTGTTTTGCATTTCTACTATCATTTATTTGTGATTTTCCCCTTTTTTAAACTCCATCATCTTGCGAGAGTTTAGTCCATTGAAGCTTTCAACTAAAATCTTCAACATTTTCTTGCTTCCACTTTTCCTAGGTTTGCTCAGTTGTTCTTCTTCTGATTTTCTGAGTTGAATCTTTCCACTGTGCTTTTTTGGCTATACATTTCCTGTAAATACAACTTTACCTACATCCTGCGTGCTCTGATATGGTAGTATTTTCAGCATCATTCAGTTCTAAATGTTATGCTCTCTTTGGTTATTGCACGGCATTTCTAATTTTTTTGCAATATATTATATATCTGAGAATGTGGACTTTATATGGCGCATCTTATCTGTGGAAACTTCCATGTTTAAACTTCTTCCCTGTGTTAAAGGAAGGCACATTGTCTAAGAATTCAGCCTGTCCCCCTCACTTAATCCTAGCCTTGGGCAGTGTGTTATTTTCTCACACAGATGCCCAGATAGAACCTTGGTGGTGGTATCCCTGGTCCACTGAGCAGAGGTTCCCAGATCTCATCACTGAGGTTGCAGCCATCTACAGCCCCTTGAGTAGGGGGATGTATCTCCCCTTGCTAGACAAAAGGGCCCTGTCCCTCCTTGGAACCTGTGTGCAGCTGGTTCCGTGCCCAACCCTGTGCCCTGGGCTTCGCAGCATCAGCCCTACTTCTCCACTCCAGCTTCAGTTCCCTCGATTCTCTGGCACTGGTGTCTGCGTATATTTTTAATGCCTGGCGTTTTATCCACACCTTGATGAGTTTACAACAGGAGGAAGAGGGCCCATGTGAGCTCCACAGGCCCTTTAGTCCTGGAAACCAAAGCCCTAAAGGTCAACTTCCTTGGCCGGTCTGCTTAAGACAGCACCACGATTGGCAGTGTCTTCCTACACGGGGAAGAGAGTTTCCATCTGATTGGTATTTTTGAAAGATGAAGAGAAAAGAAAAAGATCATAATGTGTGCCTGTGAGAGAGAGAGAGACACACACACAGTTAGACTAACTAACTCCCAGGGTGTTTGGGGAAAAGTGTAAGGCTGGCAGCACAGAGTAATGAGGCTTAATTCTATCTCCCTCTCTCTTTTTAAAACAGTTTTATTGATATGTAATTGACATACCATAAAGTTCACCCATTTGAAGTATACAGTTCAATGGTTTTTAGTATATTTACAAAGCTGCACAATCATTGCCACACTCTAATTTTAGAACATTTTCATCATCGCCAAAAGAAACCTTGTACCCATTAGGACTCGCTCCCTCTAATTCCTCACCTGTGCCCCTCCCCGCCCCCGGCAACCACTAATCCACTTTCTGTCTCTTTAAATTTGCCTCTTCTGGATATCCATGTAAATGGAATCATACAATAAGTGGCTTTGTGGCTAGCTCTTCCACTTTTTGACTATTATGAATAGTGTGTCTATTCATATTTGTTCACAGGTTTTTGTATTATTCATTCACAGACTTTTCCTTGGACGTATATTTTTATTTCTCTTGCAAATACACTTAAAAGCAGAATTGCTGTGTCATATGGTAACCGTATGTTTAACATTTTGAGGAACTGCCAGACTGTTTTCCGAAGTGGCTTTTTATTTAAGCACTATTTGAGGTGGTACCCTCAGATGCTGCTGCTAGGAATGTAAAAGGATGCGGCTGCTTAGGAAGAACACTCTGGTAGTTCCTAAGATGTTTAATCACAGGGATACCACGTGACTCAGCAATCCCACTCCTAGGTCTACACACGAAAGAAATGAAAACATATGTCCACACAAAAAATTTGTACACGAATGTTCATGGCAGCATTATTCATAACAGCCAAAAAATCAAAACAACTCAAATGTCTATTGGCTGATGAATGGATAAACAAAATCTGATAAATTCACACAACAGGTTATTATTTAACATGGAAAAGCATGAAGCACTGATGTGACCAGGATGGACTGTGGAAACATGATGCCGAGTGAAAGACGTCAGACACAAGGAACCACATACTGCATAACTCCATTTCTGTGAAATCTCTGAAACAGGCAACTTTATAAAGACAGGAAGGATACGAACGCCGACTTAGGACTGGTGGGAGGATGTAACTGAGGAGAGAGGACTAAGAGGCGTGGGCTTTCATTTTGAAGTAACGCAAATGTTCTACAATTCATTGCAGGGGCCGGCCCGGTGGCACAGCGGTTAAGGGCACACGTTCCACTTCGACGGCCTGGGGTGCACCGATTTGCATCCCGGGTGTGGACATGGCACCGCTTGTCAAGCCATGCTGTGGTAGGCGTCCCACATATAAAGTAGAGGAAGATGGGCGCGGATGTTAGCTCAGGGCCAGTCTTCCTCAGCAAAAAGAGGAGGATTGGCAGCAGATGTTAGCTCAGGGCTAATCTTCCTCAAAAACAAAATAAAATAAAATAGAATAAAATTCATTGTAATGATGATGCACAATTCTGAATATACTAAAAGCCATTGACTCACACACTTTAAATGGACGAACTGTATTGCACGTGAATTTTATCTCTAAAATGTGGTTAAAAAAAGGAACTCTGTTCTTAAGTACCCTAAGTTCTGGGTCCCACTCGCCTTATGTGGATAAGCTGGCCGGGAGGCACGCTCCTCTCTCCCGCTCCCTCCGTAACGCAGGTGAGCAGAATTGTTTTCTTCATCCTGGGTTTTCTGCCAGCCCTTGCTGGCCTTGCTGGCTGACCTTGAAGATAAATCCAATTTGTCCTGCATGTGAGGAAAACTGACTCTAGCCAAGGCCACGTTAGAGAAAACGAAGCTATTCGTCAGCGAACCCGTCTTAGCAGTCTGACGGATGATCTCACGTGAGCAGGAAGCCTGCCTTGATTTCCCCACATGGTGAGGTGTGCCAGTGTGTGCCCGTGGAATGCGCAGCTTCCTCTTGGTGCCCTGGTGCCGAATGGTGCAGAAGAAGCAGTCTGAAAGTACCCTGGGGGTTAATCAAGGAGATAAACACAGCCAGCCGGGCCGCCGGGGACGGCTCTCTGCTGATGGCTCAGGCCTGTCATCCTTGGGGGCGAAGCTCAAGGCTGGGGTTTCCCTGGTTCTCGGCTGGCTACTGCAACACCAAGTCATGGGGCAGCAGACACCTGTCCCCAGCCTCTAACTTCACGGATGGAGTGACTGAGGCCCTGGGAGGTGACCCGAGGTACTGGACATGCTTTCCACTTCTCTCTGTTTTCCACAGAGGTGGTGGCGAAGGCCAGCTCTGCAGCGCCAGCGAGGTCGTGAGGCCGTCCTTTGTAACTCTGAACGTGCGCATAGGGCTGCTCCTTTTTCCCAACATTTTCAGGGGATGATCATGTTTGCTAAATCTCTCTGCAGGGAAGTTATCAAATCTGCAATGACTCAGAGTTAGTGGCCAGGCCAGATCAACAATAAGTTTTTAAACAGCTTTATTGACAATTAATTCACATACCATACAATTCATCCATTTAAATTGTAAAATTCCGCGGTTTGGGGTATATTATCATTTTTTAAATTGTCATAAAATATATGGAACATAAAATCTGCCATTTGGGCCGTTTTAAGCGTACAGCTCAGTAGCAAGCGCTGACTGCATTCGCGGTGTTGTGCAGCCGTCAGCACCATCCAGTTCCAAGCTTTTTCATCATGCTAAACGGAAACTCTGTAATCATTAAGCAATAATTCCCCATTCCCTCCTC